GTCTCCGACCGCAGCGGAGTACCCTTTACCTGGTATTTCTCTCCTAACAGCTGCTGGATTCTGTTTTCACATTTTATCGAAGCAGTGTTTTGATTGCCGCCCCCCCTCCCTTCCCCGGCCCTGCTAACCAAGCAGGTAGGCGGGGAGGACGCAGTCATTTGCAGTTATTTCTTATGCAGCTCTGGGACAGCTCTGACCTTTTTCTGTTTGTTTACAGTCTGTTTGCATGTGTCCAGCCCCACGCATTCCCTTGCACCTCACACACACACACACCACAGTCGCAATTTTGGCCTCGCTCTGCAGCCCCCTGCCACATAAAGCTGAGCACATCCTTGGTATCAGGAGCAGTTTTGTAAACCTGGGCTGCCTGGACAGGATGCTGCTCTTGCTCTCAGATGGAAATGGGTTTGAATCTTCTAATCCTCTCCATTTTCTCCAGTTCACATGCTCATACAACTTCCAGACTCTGTTGCATCTATCGTAAGCTAAACCCAAATCTCAGACACTCAGCTCCCTGAAATTTGGGGCAGCTCCGTGCCTTTATCTGCTCCTAACAGCCCTGCTTCACGGCGCTCCCAGAAGAGAGATGCTCGTGTCAGATCTCCACGGCAGACCCGCCCTGGGAGAACTCCAAACTAGCCGTGGACAGATTACTCATTATATACAGTTTATTTAGCAGATTCTGTCCTTTTTGTTCCCCTGCTGATAGATGGTCTGTGAACAAATTTTTATGCATTTATTATTGTTTATTATTTATTTATGCAAAATTGTTCAATGAATATTTTACATGAGCAAATTTCAGCCTGGGTGTTTGTAACGAGCTCTCATTCGATTAGAGGATGCTGAATATTCATGATGTCTAATTGGCCATCTCAGTCACATGGCATTTTCTTCTCCTGTCCCCTCTTTTAGGACGACTCAACTTTTATTAACTGCTTCTGCCCCAAGGAAATTTCCCCTCTGTACTGAAAGGAGCAGACTGACTGAATTAAAGCCGCCTTGCCAAGACACAAATCGTTGCAAACAGCAGCGCCATCCACCAAACACATAAGGCAGTAAATTAGGATCATCCACTTAACTTGCATTACGGTGTGAAACTATCTCTGCTAAACAGCTAAAACAACTCAGGGACGGAGATCAGTCAGCACTGGAACAGCTATCCCCTGCACGAGTAGAGTTATAACACATGCCTTCAACCAGGATTCACGCTGTCTTCTCAGTTCCTACCCAAAAGGACTATCAATACCAATAGATCAGCCAAGAGAGGCCAGGCAAGTCACAAAGATTGGCTGCTTCTCACAGAGACGGGCTTGATTTGCTATTTCCCATTCCTCCCAAGTAGACTGACACGGGAGGTCAGCCCCAGGTTCTTCTTTCCCACATCTATTCCCAAATTCATGCGTCCTTTTCCAACAGTGCCAACAATGACAACAGATGAGCCGCTCTTTCCCCTGTACGCTCCAGCAGCCACGTTCAGCTTTAGCTAAACTCACATCCATGGTAAAGTATCATGTGCTGATCAGAAGTGGTTGAAAATAAGCCAAACATCACAAATCGTATCCAGTAAAAGAAATGGCTCCGAGGCGATCCATCTACGGCATCTATGGCAGAACTTCGCAGAGATTTTGTAAGCCAGTTTTAGTACCAGAATAAATAAATGAACAACAACACTAATAAAAACAACACCACAGCACTCCATCCAGGGCCATGGATGCTTTTTTTTCTCTGCAGAGTTAAAGAGACAAGCAATACACCACGCTCACATACATGAAGTTAGGCTGTTAATGCCTGGGCTGGGTGTCTTTGCATATTACCAGCTATTTGTGGATGCCCTAGGGCTAAACTGGGTCATGTATAATAACACAGAAGGCAGCTGTTGAGGTAGACCACTTTCCTAGGGGTCGATAAGGACTTCTGAAGCCTGAATTATCCTGTCTCGTTGAGGACATCAAGTGAAAACTTCAGATAAACTGCTTCCTAACTGTAGCTATCTCACTCCGCCAACTATAAAGAGACTGCAGCCAATATCATTATAGGCATTTGTGCTGCGAGTTGTAGATAATCAGCAATAGGCAATGCCTCTCCTTCTGAATAGGAAGCAGAAATTATACAGCTGCTTCGTACTCGGGAGAAGGCACAGCAGAAGGAAGCTGTGTTAGAGCAGCAAAGATTGTGGTGAAGCCTCACACCAGCATCCCATTCACTTGGAAATAGGCACAGCCCACGCTTGCCATCATTCCTCCACCATTTGGGATGTGGACATAATGCAGGCTTCTGCCCTCTGCCTGGAGCAATGCTTTCCCTTGATTCTTCCTCCATACCTGCAAGGAGGGAGCCTGCTTCTTCTCTTGCTCACACATCAGCAGGAATCGCATGCAAGCACCTGCAGAGCTGCACCCAATGGAAAAAGCATCGCGTCTGTGGCTTGTGGTGGCCTCCAGAGCTGCTGCTGTGCTCTGAAAGCAAGCTCCAGCTCAGCTGCTGCTTTACTGTGGGGATATGAATCAAACTCCTTTTGGTTGAACGTGCAATCGAATGCGGGCGCACAGACAATAAAATACACCAACACTCTTTCTTCAATCAAGGAAATTACATGATATTAATGCAAGCTAGCTTGGGGTTGCCTCTACCTGCGTAAAAGTCAGGAAATTTAAAAAATGATGGTTCCCACAGCAACCTTAACTCACCCATGTTGCAGATATCTAATAAGGCAGAGTTAACAGCATACACATGAATATAAAATACTACTCAAGCAAATCTCAGCCATCAGATTGCATTAATATTGATTTGTTTCATTTAATAATAGATTGTCCCATCATTGCTTTCAAGAGAGCTTTTTATGAAACTATTTTTTTTAAGAAAAGATTTGAAAAAAAAAAGAAAAACCAAACATATTTTATTCACGTTTCGTATTTTAGAGAACTGACATTGTTTCTTCATAGGAGGAAACTGACAAGCAGGCAGGTAGAATCCAGCCCCGGCTTTTGCAATATTACAGGAATTTCAGCTCTGGAGTTTTTAATTAAAAATGTGAAACCTAAGTGTGCTGACAGCCAGAAGGGACACGAACAATTTTACAGAAAAGGAACGGAACTAGGAGATATCAGAGTCCTCCTTCACTCCCTCTGTTCCCCTGATTTATACCCTGTGCTGGAGGTTGCCATCTTTACTGATGGGCACAGATATAGTTCAGTCAGCAGTACCCTGGACTCATCCCCAGTGTAGCAGGACCACCAAACCACAGAATCCTAAAAGAAATAAGGTCAAAATGAACTTCAGGATGACACCCGATCCATTCAAAACTGGGCTAGTTAGCTAGTTAGTTTGGGTTGCTCAAGGTGTGCTGGGCTGTGCTGGAAATGCTTTTTCGGTGCAGCCACATGAAGATCAGCTGCAAGGTGCCCTGAAAGATGTGATTAAAATGGAATAGCAAAACCCGATCCTAAATACTTGGCGATGTTGGAGGTCAGGACCTCAGTTGTGACATAACCTGAGAACCTCAGCAGCTATACACCATCACGTGCCAGAATTTGAATGCCTGTGACCAGATCTCACCACGCTCCACAGCAGCACCGAGATCTTCAAAGACACCCTCGGGCAGAGAGAGAAACAAATGAGCTCCAGGAATTCAGCCGGCTCCTCCGGCTTTATTCACTCAAGGAAAGAAAAAAAAAATTAACCTCCTTTTTCTTCCCTAGCCCCAGACACCTGACTCAGAAATGAATCATCAGAAAGACGAGCCCAACAACATCCTAGACTGTATGTCTCATTTTGCCTTTTTTTTCCTAAGGAGATAAATAACCCCCTTAATTTCAGTCCAAAATCCTTGCAAGACAAGCTCCCCCGGCCTCAACTTTGGAGCTCCTGGGTTTAAATGAACTCGCCCAGCTGCCGAGTCCCCTGCCTGGCTGCAGGCACTATCGGGTCCATCGGAGGAGCGTGGCTGCTCACGAGGCAGCTCTCATTAGCGACTGGCAGGGACTCGGCTGCACAGGCTTTGATAAGCCCAGCTCCACTCTCGCAAGCACGCCACCAAGCAATTAAAACAGCAAAGGCTCCTTTTTTTTTTTTTTTTCCCCACCATCCTTTTTCTTCCTCCTCCCAAGCTGAATAAAAATGATTTGATAAATTATTCTTTTCAGTGCTAAACGCTCAGGCAAAGGAGGGGAAAAAAAATGACACGAGGGAGGGAAGTCGCTCCCGAGGACCTGCTATTAGCCTGTATCCCCAGCTCGCTGGCCATCAGGACAGGTTCTGGCTTTTGGGGTGGGCGATTGCCACAGCAACACTCCCTGGCATCCATCTTCTGCTGCTCTCGGGGCTGCTGGGAGCGCATGAAATGGTTGGGGCAGGGGTTTAGGACAGCCTCAGCCTTGTTTTATGCTTTCTTTACCTGCACATGGCACCCTACGTGTTACCTCTACAGAAAATGCAGACACAGCCCAGTGCCATGTTCCTCAGCACCACTTAGACATAGGAAGCTCTTAGGAGGCAGGTGAGAGATTTTGGAGGCTCTCTCCTGTGCTGCCATTGCCACCAGCCCAGGAGCCAGAGCTGCACGCTCCAAACAGCCCTGGGGTTTTTGCTCCCTGCCCGCAGTGTAGCAGCACCTCTGTGCTTTTCCAGGGCTCTCACACACCGCCACGATCCCTGGTTTACATGGAAAAGATGTGGGCAGCTCGGGTCCCACCTCGATGAGGCTACGTGATGCGCCGAAGTGAACTGCTGCCTGGTTAACGAGGAGCTAGCAGGAGACCTCCCGCAGGAAGCAAAAACAAAGATGGGACTCGGGGATTCGGGAAAGAAGAAGGGGTTGGCATAGCAATAACACAGCTCACAGCCAGAGACCTGCTCCTGCAAACTGGGCTCGGCGCTCACAGGAGGCAGTGCCCGGCGGCTGGGGACTGAGCAGGGAGATTTGATCGAGACCGCACCACCCAAAATAGACACACAAACAGCAGCCAGCACCTCAGCTCTGTCTGCCTGTGTTTTCCAAATGCATACAGAAAATGACTTCTATTAAACGAGTGCTCGAATTTAGAGCTGCTCAGCAAACAAGGAGCGTCAGCGGGATCGGCCTGTCACCTCTCAGACTCGCTCCTTACTTCATCTCTCACCATAATCCGGTTTGGGGGCCAGGGGTTTCCAATACATTTTCTTATTAGTCATTTTCTGCCATTTCCCCTGCCGTTAACAACCGTGGTTTATGGCGAGAAACAGAGATGCAGAAAAGAGGGTGTTTGCAAAAACAACAACAAAAATACCGCACACGCAGCTATCAAGTTGGCAGCACAAACCCACAACCATCCAAAATAAAAGCACTGCAGAATTCTGCCCCTTTTTCCCCATGCCACAAAACAACTTTGCTGAGGAAGCAAAGGTTAACGTGCCAGATGCCCTGGACAACGTGTCCAGAGAAGAATTCTCTCTCTCTGCCACCTACAGAAACGCCCACGGTTCATCCACACCTTCGATTTAGGAAGGCCCTTTTGGAGAAGGGGAAGCATGTCAGAAGATCGTGGAAGTTCAGAGGGAGAGAAGCTGGGAGTTTCCTGGCAGCTGCAGGTGGCTGCTGCTGTGATGATGCATGATAAAGAGGCATGGAGAGGGAGGCGGAGGGTGCAGAGGACACAGTGCAGTTTCCAGGGGATCATCCATCACCGGTGGCTCTGCCTTCTCCTCTTCGTGCCAACAGGTGATGGAGCCTCATCCATAAAACATTTCCTGGGTGTCACTACCTGGAAGACGCATTGGAGGGTTACACTCACTCTGCATAAGAAATAACTTTCCAGATGAAGGAGAGAGCTGCCACTTCCCAGCTCCCCGAGCTCTCCTCCTCCCCACCCGTCCCTGCGTGCTGCACCCAGAAATCATCCGTCTCTCTCCATCAGCATCTCCTCTTCCCACCAGCAAAGGCCTCAGATGTGCACCTTCAGTAAAACACAGCAACAGCACGACTTCTCTGTTTAGCTGAGGTGAGCCAGGGCCACAAGATCTCGGCAGGTTCTCCTACCCCAAATAATTCAAACAGGAAGATTTGTGAGGGGAAAAAAATAAATAAATAAAGCGTGCTCCGGCAGGGCAAAGCCAGTAATTGGGTGATTTGCATTTACACTCACAAACAAAATAATGGCTGGGTGATTCCTTAAGTACTTTGGATTTCGGATCTGAAATATGACTCAGGTTACAGCTGATGGGGATCAGCGGGTTTTGCCGCAATGTTCTGGAAGCGAGCGATGGCTTTGACGAACCGCTGCACGCATCAGCGAGGCTGGCAGCCTCCAGGAACAAGAATTAAGCCCTGAAACAGCAGGGAGAGGGCAGGGGGCTGCAGGGGGCACCGGCAGAGCTGCTGTGGGCAGCCCAAGAGTGGGAGAAGCAGGGGGAGCATGGGGCAGGAGGCTGGGTGTAAGAAATGACGTGCGGCAACTGCTTGCAGCCAGCTCCATCGCTCCCTATTTTTCACTAGAATTACCATTCAACCGTTCTTAATACCAACTCCTGTGCCATTTACTGCCTGACTTACCAAACCCAACGAGCTTCTGCTCCCGTGCTCCTACATAAGCAAATTGATGGTTCAGGCTGCCAGCCTCAGCTGTCAGCCACCCAAGTGTTTCTGGAAGCGCACTGCCTTTGGTGCTAGACACTTGTCTCCCGCATGAGCTGGAGTATCTGGGGAGTAGGTGAGCCTCACCTGCCACTAAATGCTTCTAAGAAACAAAGCGGCTGTAGAGTTGGGGTGGGTGTAAGTCTTGGAGATGGATATATGCTGAGAAGACTGCCTGTTTTGGAGGATTACACAGCATAAAGCCGTAGGAAGATAAGGATGCAGAAGGGAGTGGGGATGAGAGAGGAAAAACAAAGGAGGAAGAACTGGAGACAGCCAAGTATGAGAGTGAGGCAGAGGAGACAACCTGCAAAAGCAAAGCAGCTGGAATCGCCGAACAAAGCAATGGGAGAAGGGAAGGAGAGCTCTGTGGAGAGCCACTGAGCACAACACCCCACCTTCAATCCCCTCCAGAGGAATAAATGCTGACCCTACTTCTTTCCCTGCTTGTCAGGGGCTGTTTGCCTGAACAAGACCAGCCCGGGAGCCCTCTCCCGCTCTCTGAGCATTAATATATTCATTTCATTATTCAATTATTTAAAGCATTTCTGATGTTCCATCTATTTCACGGAGACGGAGGTGGGGTGGGGGCCGCTCCCTCTCTCCACAAACCCTTGCGGCGGGGTGCGCGGTGCCCCTCAGACGTCCCTCCTCCGGTGGGGCTGGCTCCTCACCCTGGCTCCAGCACCGAATAATCCCTCACCTGCACCTCAGAGGTGGTGTTTAAAGGCAGCCCGGTGAGTTATCACCACCACCACAGCGGCCCCTGCGAGGGGCAGGGGGTGAGAGCTCTCCCTGGCGCCGCAGGAGACGGATGGACTGGGTGTCGGAGGGAAGGAGGCGCGCACAAAGGCGCTCTCCTGTCAAGCTCTGCTGGCCCCTGCAGGCAAAGCTGCCTCCGTGGTGTGCGAAATGTGAGGCTGCGGGTTAGACAGAGAGGCTTCTCCTCTCCATTTGTCTCCCCGCTTTGGAGGGGCTAATTAGCTTGTTAGTCATGGTGTCTCTCTCAGGCTTGCAAACCGCCATAAATCTCCTTCTCTCGCTCCCCGTTCCGGGGGAGCATTAATTCAGATCCTTGGATGGGAGACCTCCAAAGACAACCTCAGGTGCTGAAGGCAGCAGGGTTCATGAGTGAGCGCCTGTCATTCCTCCTGCAACATCATCAGTCCCCACGTCCCAGCGTGACGCTGACAGGGGCCACCTGTAACGCAGAGCTCTCGGCCATCTGCGCTCACAGCGGAGCGGCTGGCACCTCGGGTAGCACCTTGGGTACAGACCCTGCCCCACAACCTGCGCTGCTAGGATCACCTACAGCACAGCTGGAAGACCCCTGATGAAGTGCCTTGGTAAGGGGCATCGAGGAACAGCAAATTCGGCTGCCTCGAGCACTGCCATCAAAGCGAGGCTTGCCTTGGGCTTCCTGCTGCTCGTCACCAGACCTGGCGGGTGGATCCCGCTCCGAAATCCTCCTTCGAGACGGAGAGCGGGGCGAAGATTTTGCAGGGCACCAGGCAGGTATTTTTAGTTCAGCTTGGCTATTTTCTCTGCAAGAAAGAGTTAGCAGTTTGACAAGGATTTCGCTGCACCTTTATTAGCAATCCTTATTGTGTTCAACTCTTAGGGGAGAGCTCCCCTCGCTGCAGTTTCATTCAGGCAATTCTGCCGGTAATCTGCATGGTTCCCAACACTCCAGCGTCACGGCAGATAAGGGAAGAGCACCTGGGGAATCTCGCCCTCTGCTCGGCCGTGAAGATTTCCTGCCGCGCATCCTCAGACTTTTGTCCAATTCCGTGATAAATGTTCTCAAATGATGGAGTGTGCCACCCTTCCCTTTATAGGAGGGGCTCCTGAGCCAAGAACAACTCGCTGACACAAAGTGAGGCTGGATAATCAGCCCCATTTGCATTCTTTCCCTCCTGATGCTAGCTAAAGCTGGGTAAACAATTCTGAATGAATCATTTATTAGCTTAATTCTGCCTCCTCCAATTCATGAACTGTCCACTAGTGCTTCCCAGCTTCCTCCAGCCTCTTTTCCCTTCAGAATCATTTGGGTACGAACATAACAAAATCCACTGAAGTCAGCAGGATGATTTCTTTGCAGAAAAGTAAGCTTGTGCTGGAAAGCTTTTGCTGAACAGAACTTGTCTTGATGGATCTTGTTGCCTTTTCTTTACAAGCCATCTTTTATATTCGACTTACTTGTTAGCAGCGCGTTGGGATTTTGCAGCTATTTTTCTCGACTGACTGCAAGGGTCATGTGGTAGCTTTGCATATTCTTGAATGGACGCAAACAGCTCCCTGAGCATTTAGCTTCCCAGGAAACCAGCAAAATTCACTATGTGTTTCCTTGGTGCCATGTTGCCAATATCACAGTCCAAAAATAAAAATACAATTAAAAGAAAAATCAGGAGTCAGGCCCTCAAAGCTAAAAATCACAGGGCTTTGCTTTTTTCCAAGTAACAAATGTTGGGTTACTTCCATTAGCTCCCTTCCTTTTTGACCTTCCACGTTCAGTCTGTTTGTCAGAAGCACAGGGGCCAGAAAGGCGCTGCTTTAGTGAAAGACAAAATACCTTCACTTTAACAGCATGGCTTTCAGAAACAAAGCAAAAACTGCAAGTCTCACAATAAAACAGGAGAGCTGGCAACACCTAACTCAACAATCCTGCACTACTAATACAGACTAAACATTAGTTTGCTACGCCAAAATAACTGCCACGGTTTCTACAGCACTTCCAGCCAGGGAACTTCTTTCCTGACATAATGACACAAATCAGACTCAAAAGGGTGAGGATGGAATTGGGGCCAAATCAAATGTTTGAGCAAGTGTGGAGGGGAGGATGTGGGCTCCTCAGCTCTACCTAGTTCCTATCCAGGGCTGCCTAAATGATAACTTTTTGTCCTGGAGACCCCTCCAATATATGATCAATAGCTACTGTCCTCCTCTCTATGCCAACTAAGCAAACATCTCTCTTTTCCTTCCCTGAAGGGCAGTCCCTTTGCTTGCCTGGCAATGTCACTCCTCCACCAGCTCAGTCTAACACAAGAGTATCTCAGGGACTGATCAAGGACCAGACCACTCGTTCCAGCAGAGTCTAAGCAGCTCTCCCCCTGGTACCCGTTTGGAAAGAGATGCAATCCCATCCCTCTCCAAGAGCGATGCGAGCGCTCCCTCTGCCGTTGCGAGGGCTGCAGGCAGGCAGGGCCATACGGCACTCGGCAGCTGATGTTTTCCCCTAACTAATAGCTATTTTGCTGGCATTTGTCTCACAGTGGAAGGGTTACGGCAACACATGCTGGCAACGTCTGGCCACGAGAAGCTCAAGTGATGGAGTTGTTGCCAGTCCTCTTGCCCCCATCAGGCGCGGTGATTTCGAAGCCGGGTGCGTGCACACACTGCCTGCGCTCTGCGAGATTCAATTTACACTGGTAGACGGCAAGTCAAGTTCATGATCCCCAGGACAGGAGAGCAGATGGCTTTACGCTTTTCATTTTTTTCAAATGAAACCATCTGGCTAATTCTCTGTGGCTCGTGCACGCGTGTGCTAGCAGAGAGATGCAGCCTGCCTCCCCGCCGAGGCTGTGCCTGAAGTCACACGGGAAGCATTCACATTTTGGAAGTGGGTGCTAAGGTACCAGCATGGCTTCAGCCTCTGATACCAGCAGATGAGATGTGGCACAGCCATGCATCTGCATAGTCGTAGCCCCCCAGATAAAGAGATGCTGCCTTTTTCTTATTTTCCCTGGAAAAAAATAAGCCTGCAGTGGCATTTCTCACATATCACCCACCAGGTCACGAGCCAGATCTCACCTCATTCACCACCAAGGCTATGAAGGGATGTATTGCCCCTCTGCTCAGCGCACTTCCCCTTCCTCCCATGGCCATTATTTATTTCCTGCTTCCCCACCTTACAGTCTCCGTGGTCTGCAGGCACCCCTGCTCCCACATTTTCACCCTCTGGAGCCAGGGCAGTGCTGCAGGCCTTGTCCCACAGATGGGCACGAAGCCCAGGCAGTCGGTTCTGTATCAGATGGGAAATGCAGAGCAGGGCACAGCAACCAACCCAAGCCTCATGCTGCCTAGCTCAGCTCCCTAGTACAAGAGATGGTGAACATTTGCCAAATTTGATTA